TGGTGCCTAGTAGGTATCACATCCCCGGAACATTTTTCTAGAAGAAATAAAAAACAGATGGGGAAACAGGTGTATTTGTCCATAGACAATGGGTGTGAATACTGCTTCCCTCACAAATGTCATTGTCAAATGATCTGTTCACTTGGTGAGATAGTCAGCAAATACTGTAAGCTCCACTGACACTGCAGAAAATGGCTATATATTTTTTACAACTCCATAGAACCTTGTGCATAACACACCACATCAATGGTTGAGAGAAGTACTGATGGATCAATTCCATGTATTTCCATCAGCCTACTGCTTAGGGTAAATAGAAACATGGCATCAACTAGCTGCAGAGATTAATCTGATCTTGCCATCTCGTGCTGAGTGGAACATTTTAAAATAGATGGTCCATAAGGCAATTATGCTGAATTTTAAAAACTTTGAAGCAGATCAATCCAAAGCCCTTCTGCCAACACATGGTTTTGCTGCCCTGCCCTAACCAATGTGTTGTACAGGATGTGTTTGATTGTATTCAGGCCATTCAGAAATAGCATTTCCTTAAAGTGCTCTCAGTGGATTGTGTCAGGGTAGGGATCCTCAGGGGCCTCAGTGCCACAGAAAGAACCTTGTAGCCTGTGCCTGGAGGATTTTTGCCTTGACAACAGTGATGTACTTCCCAGGTGTGGCTGATGCCTAAGATCCCACAGCTGAAATTGGTACATGGAGTTATGGAAGGAACATTACAACTGAAACCAAACAAGAAGAAAGAACATCAATAGGAGTTATAGTCATCATCATGTTGGGATAATCAGTGCCTCATCAGCTCCAAAGCTTTGCTGTAACTGTCAGACTGACATCCTGCACTGTTTTTAGTGACCTGCCACCAAATCAGTGCCAGTGCAGTTTGCTGAGCTTTGTTGACTTTAGTATTTAGTTAGCTGCAATACCTAGGCTGGTACACTACAAGAATATTTTAATAAAGAGTAAATGCAAAATGGAAAAAAATCAGAGACAGGAAGGGATTTAAATCCGGTTGAATTTTAGAATACAATTGTCATTCTGTACATCACTTACCATGAATTAACAGCAATATTTTGGGGCTACAGTGCCTGTATATTACAGCAGAGTTGTGCTTGTTTAGGTGGCTTTTCTTCTTTCTCATTATTTTGTATCATTTTTGGTGTCAAGACATAGATGACTTGCAAGAATTCAAAGTATAAGTGTCTTAATGAAAAAATACAGCATTGTTTAATTTGAAAATACCTGCAAGAGGGCTAATGATAGAAAATATTTTTAATAAAATATTCTGCAAGATTGATAAAAATGAGCATATAGTAATCTTTTAAGAGGATTTGCTGTATAAAGACCAAATTTTTCACAGATTTGACTGTGGAATTGAAGCAGCTCATTCAATCTTACGTTGACCTTTTTGAATGACTTTTAATATTTTACATCTTTAAATACAATTTTTTGGTTTTGATTGTTCTTGGTTTTATTATTATAGACTAACATATTCTTTGGGTTACTAATTTCAGAGAGAGGATAACTGGAGCCAACGACCACCATCCCCTCCTATGAAAGGGATCACATACTTACCTCTGCTGGATGATCTGTTTGGCAAGGAAGAATAATCTCATCTGTGGAAGGCACTACTTTTGGATTAGTGCTTCAGCTCCAGAGATTACTTACACAGATACTGAAAACATACCTTGTAAACCAAACAAAAACGTATCAGATACCGGTTTTATTGCATGCAATTTCTTGTTCCAACACAGATGCATACTGGTGTGGTTTTGGAGCTTCTAAATCAGCACTACTGTGTCATATAAGCATAATTAAAACTCTATTCTCTAATCTTTGTGTCTGGTTATATGGAGAATTTACAAGTGTTTGGAAATCTTTGAGTCAAACAGAGCAAAATCTGCTTCGTGCTGCAAACAAATGTTGTGGGATGACCTCTTCAAATGTTAGCACTAGCACAGTAATGCAATTCCATTCAAATTTCCTGCCTTGTTCTTCAGCTGATATCTGTGTTTTTGCTGTATCCCCGTGGAGATGCTCAAGTGCTGTTTGTGTCAAAGTTTGTTGTTTTGTGGAGGAAATCCTACCAAGGGTTTCATACAGTATAAAGTTGCTCTGGGACCAGAGATAATTATAGCCTTTCAATCTAGAAGCAAATGTTTTGCAGGCACAGCATGGAAGCTGTCAGTTCTTGCTTTTTGTTTCAAATGTGATCAGGTTTGTAGCCACCCAAGTTTCCTTGGGTGGGATATGGACAAAGAGAAGGTATTTCAGTCCCATTTTAGTGTGCAGTGTTCTGGCAGTAGCACTTGCCCTTTGAAAATTAATTGATGCCTTTCTCTGTGCTCCATGACCAAATACACTTCCTGTTAGCATTTTTGTATCTTTTTAAGCTCATGTCAGCTCAAAGCCATGATTAGATCTGGATTTACTGCATGCTTTTGTGAGAGAAGTAATTACCCATTTTAAAGAATGGAGGAGCTGAGGGGAAGGAGGAGCTGACCCATCCATGGTGATTCCATGGGGGAATGGAGAGGAATGGGAGCCAGGGCACCTCTGCTGGTGGCTGGAGAACTCACACGTGCAGTAGACTGAATCCTGCATTTTCTATAATCTGAAATTACAATTTGGAGAGGACTTGTTTGATTTAGAAGCACGAGAATTCAACATATCTAAATCCCCAAACTGAGGGAAAGACAATAGTAATTTTCTTGACACTTGAAGATCCCTTTTAGAATTAAGATTCCATTTAGGAATACCTTCCTGCACTTTTGTGTGATAGTTGAAATGAAATTTTTATTATTTTCCCACCATAGGGCGAAATATGAAGTTTTTGGCAGCTCTTTACCCTTTTTTTTTTTCAGCAAAGAAGGTCTTGGGGCAAAGCATAATTATATGTGTTACTGCTACTTAGGAAGGTGTTTGCACTAAAATGGACAAGTGATGGTCAGTGTCCAGGGGCTCAAAAAGAAAATTTACAGTGCTCTAAGCTGTACACAAGACCATGTATTGCTTTTTCATCCAAAAGAAGAAAATGGTTTCTTACATGACAAGAAAAACATCTGACCACAGGGATAGTGTCAGGAGCTGAAACAATAACTTGTGTTTGAAGCCAGTTTGGTGAAAGCTGAATATTTTTATAACATGCCATCAAGACTGAGCTTGACACTAAATGAATGCAGTTTCCCTTGTAAATTTTTATGCTCCCTAGACTTCAGAAGGATTTGTTTCAGCTGTGGAAATCTTGTACAGCTGAGGGTTTCCAACAGAAGTTGCCTCTGAACATTTAGAACTTCCCAAGTTGCTTTTAGAAATGACAAACTCATTTTACTTTGTTTTCCTTTATGTATGTAAGACAAGAGGAGTCTTTTTTTCAGAAAAAAAGGAATTCAAGAAGTTTAATTTTTTATAATTTCAAGTGGAACCATGTGCATAGGTCTAGTCAATCATGGTCTGGTTTGGTCATGGTCAAGAAAGATGACTGCAGACTGGAACCCAGTGCAGAGAAGAACTAGAAAGGTGACAAAGAGAATGGGGATAAGAAAGGTGACTACAGGAGCTTGACTTATTCAGTGAAGTGAAATGAAGTCCCAGAGGGAATATCACTGCTCTCCCTAAATACATTGTGGCCAGGTGAGGAAAATTATCTGTTTCAGTTAAGAACATTGCTAGCCTAAGAACAAATGGGTATGATTTGCCATGAATAAATTAAAACAGGAAAACAAAAGGTCATTTCTCACTCCTAAAACAATGAGGGTCTCAAACAGCCTTCCAAGACTGATGTACTCAGTTTGAAGGTTGAGATGGGTCATCTGATGAGGGTAATTTTAGCATGTTTATTAATACCATTCTGAATGATTAGTCTCACTTCTCTTCCTCCTCTTTTCCCATGCATCTTGCATAACCCGGACAAACACAAAACCATCTCCTAGGAGAGGGCAGACAGGGCCTGAAAAATATTTTCAGTGCTTGTCACTGTGCTCACAGTGTGTCATACACCGTGGCCTGACATGCTATAAACATTTTTCACCAGGTTTTCTCTCTTACAGGCAGCAGTGCTTCCAGAATGGAAAGCCCTGGCCAATGAGCAGTCCAATAATCCTCTTTGTGTAATGTGATTTACAGCATATGCTGCCCAGAATATTTCAACCTCTCCTCTAATCCTGCCACCAGCTTCTTCTCTCTTTTCACATTGCTGATGAGGGGCCTGAATGAAGACAATACCACAGGATTATGTTTCAAGATGGCAGGAGGCCACAGCTTTGAGGCATGCATGGCATAAAGGGGAAGGCAGCCCTGCAGTTGCCATTAATCTCAGCTCTCGATCTCTGTAGGGGAGCCAAAGGTATCTTCTTTCCCCAAGTATCTGTGCTGCCCACGGCAGGAGCAGAGAGATTCACATTACAGTGCCTGCTCCCCATCCCACTGCTCGTGTTCAGTGTTAATGTTTGTTTCCTCAGCTTGGCATTTGAGAATAAGAGGCTCCACGTTCTCTGGAATAGCTGCTGCTGCAAGCAAATGGCAGGCTGCAAACAGCAAAGGGCACGAGGCCTCGTGCACAGGTGGTGCCCTGGTTGGCTCATGGCCACACATCAACTTCTGCTCTTGTCCAGTTCAGAGTGACCCAGTGCTGATCACCAGCAGATGGGTCCCCTCAGACAGGGCATAGACATGGCATAGACAGCCTGGGGATGAAAAATGGAATTCCTCACCAGGCAGTGTTCTCCTATGTCTTGCCATCATACAGGCTTCTGCTGTGTGTTTCTAGACATTCTAGCCATGTGCAGCAAGGCTGAGCTTCAGCCAGGTATAGGTAGTCCAGGCTGAGCTGCACAGACTGGGCAGAGGAGAGTGTGAATCCACACTACATGCTGAACATGCATGTGATCCCTCTCAGAGCTCAGGCTGAGCAGAGACTCAGTGATGTGCTTAGCAGGTGGGCCTGACTGTCCTTGAGCTTGACTCAGGCTCTGGCCAGTGAGCCTTGGTCAAACTTCACTGCAGCTGGGTAAACAGGAAAACCTGGGTTGCTCTAAATGGAACTATGATTTCTCTTGCTAGAGGTCTCTGAGAATCTAATTTAGCAAGGTATTTAAGCATGTGTATAAGGCTGCTCCTTTTGTTCAAAGTGTGTGCAGGCAGCTCTCTAAAATCTGTCAAACAAAGCACTGCTGGAAATGCTTTCCCGACAAAGAGGAATTCCTAAATTGAGGCATTTAGGAATTAAATCATTGTAATTAAAAAAAACCCACCAAAACCCAACCCATATGATAAGGTAGCAGTGAAAGGAGGTGATAGAGAATTGTCTGGACATGTTTATACAGGCTATATATTGTGTGTTGTTCTTGTAGTTCTTCTACAATATAAGCTAGCAATTAGCAATTAAATTCCCATTATGGGATCATGTTGGTAATTGAGATAAACTGTAAGTGTGTAGCTGTTTTAAACCTTTCTTTTAACTAACCCAAATACTGTAGTACTTATATAATTTAGAGATAATATCCCCATTAGTAGAGTTTATGACTCAATAAACAGCTCCCACAAGTTCATAAAAGCGAAAACCATAAACACCAGGACTATTAATGCAATAGAAATTCTGTGCCTCCCTCTTTTCTTGGTGGTCTAGATAGAGCAAAGGGAAATGCTATCTCAAAAAAAAAAAACATTTATTCTGGCTATATAAATATAAATGAATTGTCTTAAAACCCATCTGGAAATTTCCTCTCCTCCCCATGTCCCAGGTGGTCTGGCAACAGTGATGCATTCTGCTTTTGTCTGCAGGCAAGGGCAGGAGCTCCCCTTGGAAATCATTGACATGAAGGGATTGCATGCTGAAGCCCAGTGGTTTCCTCACCCAGCTCTCCCTCGGAGAAATGGGAACAAAATCTTCTCTAGAGTTGGGTTTCAGTGTACTTTTCCATTGTTACTACTATTACTACTATTATTACTATTACTGTCATTATTATTATTACTATAGTAAATTAATAATGTTCTCGTTAATATCATTTGAAAGGGAAAGTCTCATTGAAGTGCCTAGACTCCACAGTTTTTGAACCTCTCTGCTGCTGGCATTTTTTGACAGCTAAATGAATTTTAGGGAAGTGTGTCTGCTCGCCTGGAGATTAATACAAGCTTCTTTCCATTTGGAGCTGAGGGAAGTGATTAATTAAGCCATTTGCAATGAAAACCTAACCCTTTCCTTTGTCTGAAAGAGCTTATTTCACAGTGTGGCAGGGCACTGTTCTGCTTAGCTAATCCTTGTGCTATGAACCTCCTCGATCTGCTCACTTTGCTGCTGAAGGACATTTCTTCCTGTGTTGTTAAAATCATATAGCTCAAGTTCATCCAAATGCTGGAAGTTTTTGTCCTCTCTAGCCAACTGGGTTCGAGTGGATGTGAAAAGCTGGAGGTACACAACAGATCCACTGCTCTTGGCCTCCCTCTCCCAGTAGGTAACTCATCCTGGGACCGAACACACGGTTTGCATCTGTTTTGCTGTTGCATCAGATCTTCTGTTCTTGCCACTTTTGTGTGAGAGTTTGTTTCCAAAGTAAGCATCTCAAGTGACTGCTGGGATTTGTGTCTATCACCTCACTGCTGCTGGATTCCT